CCCCAAAACCCCAAAACCCCAAAACCCCAAAACCCCTTTCATTTGAGGTTTTATTGAATGCTATCATTAATTCAATTCAACTCCTTGTTCAAAATCAGCAACTTCAGCTATACCAACTGAGCCTCCAATTGCGTAGTAGGAAGCGTCACTTTTCCAGGAAGCATCATTTCTCCAGGAGGCTTCATTATTCCTATATAATCCGTAAAGAATCTACATCTCTTCTATTTAAAATGTCTACAGAACTTTGACCATCCAAGAGTATGTCTAGCTCATGAGCTATTACTCCTGGACATGGGCACCACTTTTCGACTAAGAACACTAAGCTTACTTATTCTGAACGGGTGCTATAAAGTTAGACAAACAAAGTTACCACTGCTTGCATAGATGTTATTGTTCGAAGCGTAGTTGGCTTGTTGCTGAGGAGGATTATATTGTTGGCCTTGGGAAGCGTAAGTTGTTTGTTGTGCGTTGGGGGTGGGTTGTTGGGGAACGTAGACTGTTTGTGGCTGAGGATTGTATGTGTCTTGTTGGACTACATAGTTTGTGGGTTGAGTAACGTAAGTAGTAGAGGGCTGGGCTACATAATTGGGAGCGGGTTGAGTAGAGTAGTTAATTGGTTGGGCTGTATTATCGTTTGATTGAACAACATAGGTAGTTTGTTGTGGAGGATAATCAGTTGATTGAACTACATAAGTATTTGCTGGTTGAGGTACATAGTTGACATCTTGCTGGACTACAAAAGAGGTATCTGGCTGTGCTACATATGTTGTCGCTGGTTGAGATACGTATGTTGTTGTTGGTTGGGATACATATGTAGTAGAAGGTTGTGTTGCATAAGTATTAACTGGTTGAGATGAGTAAGAATATGGTTGGGAGACATATTCACCATTTTGGTAATATCCTCTATTCACCGAAGTAGCATCATTACTTCCATAGCTATTATATCCATTTTGGTATCCATATCCATTGCTATACCCATTGCTATAGCTAGAATCATTATCTTGAATTGAATCATCTAGCTTGTAATGCTTATTCTGATCAAATGGATCGACATAGGAATTATCGATCACTCCATTGTTTGAAGTTTTCTTTCTGTTCTGATTTTCTCTTTGTCTTCTTTCGTATTCTTCTCTCTGTTTTCTCTCATATTCCTCTTGCTGCCTTTTTTGATTTGCAAGTTGCTGTTTCCTTTGCTCTTCATTTAGCTTCTGCTGATTCTGAACTTGAGTTGTGGTGGTTGGTGGAGGAACTCTTCTAAACAAAAACGATCAGAAAATTCTGTTTGGTTTTAAATATTCGAATTTTTAATTCCTTAATAAAGTGCAACAGATGGAAGTTTTCTTACTTTTGGTTTTCTGCTGTAGTATCAGTTTTTTTGTAAGTTTCAACTTTTGCATTATCTTGCTCCTTGATTTTATTTTCAATGATTCCAGTAGTATCCTTTGATGGCTGTTCTCTCCATATTTCTTTACCTTTGTGATATGCAATGACATATGGCAACTCTTTTATCTTGAAATCATCTTTGACATTCTTAAGAGGCTGTTTGCTTGTATCAACCTCAAGAGTTGGGTACTTGTCAGATAGAATCTTTTGGTACTCTTCATCTAATTCACTATTTTGGCCGAATATTCCAAAGATACTTTGGAAAAATCCTTCATCATTTTTATCTCCACTATTATGGAAAAATAGGACATGATCGTCATTGTCATGCATGGCTCTAAATGCAGAGATATCTTCTGGGTTTGCGGCATCTTCCATATTACTATGCCCAATCTCACAAGTAGAGAGAGCCAAGAGTGCTGAAAGCACTAAGAATCTTAATTTCATTTTGAATTTAATATTTTAAATTTTGAATTAATAAATAGGGGTTTTGGGGTTTTGGGGTTTTGGGGTTTTGGGG